CCCCCCCCCCCCCCCCCCGCTGAGTTCTACTCCCTACCTATTTAGGGCAACATAGGGAAATGGTACTCGACACACTTGTGTGTCGGTGCCTTTCCCTGTGTTGTTCCTTTTCTAGTCTTTCCTACCCGGGCGGTCTAAGACTAAAGTCCCGCTCCCTAGCTATTGCACGCAATTCATTTCTGCTAAGTAATCAGTAATTCTAGAGGGCTAAGTATTCATACACACACACGGACACACACATGTACGTACACTTCCCTGCCCCCCGCTTTTCTTCTTACGCCTTCGGTCGTTTCTTGGGCTTTCTCTCAGGCTTTTTAGGTTGTTCTTGAGGCTCGTTTCCCTACCCCAGTCAAGGGCTAAGTAATCATTTTTCCTACACCTATCTTTCTTTCTTCCCCTCTTAGCGCTGCTCTTTCTGTCTTTCTTTCCTTTTGTTTCTAAGGCTTTTTAGGTGACTATTTAGGTTCTTCACATGCGCGCCGCGAAGCGGCACCGTATGTGTGCCACCGTTCTTTGAAAAAGCGCCGAAACCGGCGATTTGTGTGTGTCCACCCCTGGACAAAGGGTTCTCAACCTTCACCACCGATTCCCAAGCAGGGGAATCAGTCCCACAACGTGTGACACTCTTCTCCTATCACACGCAACGAAGCTGTGGAGAAGAGTGGGAAGGGAAACTTGGCCAGTTTCCTGCACCTGCGACGCAACTGTTGATCAAGCCGTTCCACTTTTTGCTTTTTGTTTCATGGTGTTTCATGCTACCACCCCCAAACAGTTTTCTCAGCCACTTTCAGCAGCCGCGCGTTTTACAGCTTGTCACCGCAGTCAAGGGAAACAACCATTGTTCAAACACCTACAATTTCTCGGACTTTTCGCCATGCTGTTCCACCGCCATCCTTCCCATCGTGGTAACTGAGTTAACTGAATACAATTGTCAGAGTGTGTTGTTTGTTGAGTGTTGTGTGTTTGTGGTTGTGCTTGTGGCTTGTGCTTGTGGCTGTGCTTTGTTGGCTGTGTGTTGTGTGTTGTGTGTTGTGTTTGTGGTTGCGTCTTAGTGGCTGTGCTTGTGATTGTGTTTGTGGCTGTGTGTTTGGTGCGTATAATGATGTGTGCTTGTGGGTAGGGTTTTGTTGGTTGTGTTTTTGTGGTTGTGTGCTGTTGGTTGTGTATTGTGTGTTTGTGGTTGCGCATTGTTGGTTGTGTATTGTGTGTTGTGTGTTTCTGGCTGTGCTTGTGGGTGTGCTTTGTTGGTTGTGTATTGTCCGGTTGTGTTTGTGGTTGTGGAGGTCCGGGACTGCCCACTGCACTCTGAAGCTTGCTGTTGAGGTCCGAGACTGCCACCTGCGATCTGGTGCTTGCTGTTGAGGTCCGGGGCGGAGAAGAAGGAAGGAAGGAAGCAAGGAAGCAAGGAAGGAAGGAAGGAGAAAACGATCTTTTGAAATCTAACAATCCTGAGCTGACAGGTGGGGAAAAAGAACACAAACCAGAAACAGGTCAGGACTCTGGGGCCCACCCACACCCATTCCAGGCGTGCCTGGCCTCTGGAGCCTATGATGTCCATGATCCGCGCTTTCGCTTCTCGAACGCTGTCCTGGGGCATTTTGAAGGTGTTCCCGCACACCAAGCGGGTATTTCAGTGAGTGTGGCGGAATGTCAAGTAGACATCCCCAGTCAACTACAAAGAAACATGTCTTGAATGGACCTGATGAGAGGTCCGTTTCAATACGTACTGGGCATGGACCTGGCTGCCGTCCCCGACGCCTTAGCCCTGCCAGCCACTCCTCCTTCCCGGAGATGGTGACACGCTGGTTGTCCGGATCCACGTCGATCCGGGCCTAGACACCACCGCGGAAAGCGCAGGTGAAGCAGGTGGAGACGGTGGAGACCTTGTGTTTTGGGAATCCTGACCTTTCCTGAAGGGTCCATGGAAGTGGGACTGGAGAATGATCTTCCAGAAATCGAGTCGAACTTCAGCTTCCATGCTTGGTATTTCAGGATGTTCGCTCGTGGATGAGTTGATCGGTATAAAAACATTACTTTCAGATTCAATCCTCAAACGACGCCCGAAGAGCTCAATTGGTCCCTAGATGTATGTCACGGTCTGTCGCGTGCAGGCGTCAAATGGTCAAGTGCACTACGTACATGGCACTGTGAACACCCTGGTCCGAGCTCACGAGCTCGAATGTGTCCAAATTCATGTCACTCGGACTTGCCTAGGTGTTACTAGTTAAAAATACAGCACTCAATTTGCTTCAGGAAATCTTCACGTGTCAGATTCCATGCGCAAATGACATTGTAACAGTAACACAACACGCTGAAGCAGCGCCAGTCTTTTGCGCCAGCGATGGGTATCGGTATGCATTTTCCTGCCTGCCATTGTCAATCCTGCTTCTCGGAAAAATCTAGCTGGTAGAGTTCTTTATCCAGTACGTACTTGTGATGGACAAACTCAGCTCAGGTGGGGGCAAACAAACACGTTACCATCCCCAAAAACACGAGCGCCAAAGCAACTTCAAACCCACGGTGGAAACCAGAGTTTGAGGGAGGCCACACGCCTGGTCTTGGGTGTTCTTTCACAAAAAAGATAAAACACACAGTGATTCACATCGTTTTGCACTCATCCAATGCAGTTACCCGGGCCTCGAAATCTGGAACGGACGAGATATGACCTCTTTCGGCGTAAAGAAGCTTAACAAGTCAAACCTTTTTCAGCTGTTCAGTGTCGTGTTTTAACACATGTTAACCATGTTTAGTGTACGGAAACCAAA